AACCTGAGCTGCCTGCTTTCTGACACTTTGCTTTCGCCCAGGACTAGGGGCTGTCTGAAGCCACAGCTTAAGGAATTACTTGATGGCTGGTAGTCCAGAAACAGCTAACACCGTGTGGTGGAAAGAAGCTGTGTAGTTAAAGCAGAGTTTCGTAATTAAGTTCCTGAACACCTTCTGAAATTACTTTTTTGGTTTGGAGAGTAGTCATAGTAAACAGGCAGTTATGCTCATACAGTTCATTTAGGTTATGGGAGTTTTGTACCTCTGCACTGCACTCCATGGCCTGCAGTTGGAAGTACTTCTGCCTCAGCTGCCACGCCAGGCATGGGCTAGCTGCACTGTTCCATCTTGCTGTGTGGGTTCACAGCATCATAGAACATCCCGAGTTGGGAGGGACCCACAGGAGTCATTAAATCCAACCCCGGCTCCACACAGCGCCACCCAAATCAAACCCTGTGTCTGAGAGGCCGTCCAAACGCTCCCTGTCCAAACAGCCCTGTGCAGGCTGCTCCATGCCCACCGCCCTGTGGTGCAGACCCTTTCCCTCACCCCCAGCTGCCCTCCCCTGCCGCAGCTCCATGCCGTTCCCTCGGGCCCTGTCGCTGTCACACAGAGCAGAGCTCAGCGCTGCCCTCCGCTCCCTGTGAGGAGCTGCAGCCGCCATCAGGCCTCCCCTCAGCTCCTCCACTCTGGGCTGAGCACATCATGGGCCTCAGCTGCTCCTTACATACCTTTCTGTCCTGATCCTTCACATCTTTGTTGCCCTCTTTTGGAGTCTCTCTAGTAGTTTTATGTCCTGAAATGAAATAAGCTAGCTTGGAAGAGAAGAAGCAGCTGTGTGTGGTGGCAAGTCGAATCCATTGCAGCCCTCACAACCATCTGCACTGTCCTGAGACCCAAGGTGATTCCTCGTATGTGTCAGCTATTTGCAACCCATGTAGCTGAGCACAGGTCATGGACTTGACAGTACTGGAGTGTTTGCTAGGTCCCTTAATCAGCTGGATGCTTTTGGAAGAGATCAAAGAAGTCATTTTGTTAAGCAGAGATCCACTATGAGAAGTCCTCTGTACCCACACAAGCACTAAGTGTTAACAATGGAGAAGAAACTGAAGTCATGCTGTTTCATCACAGTGGAATTGTAGCAGGAATAACAAATGCACGTACTGATGTGCATTGGCATTTACATGTGGTTGGTTTCATTGAAATTGCTGGATTTAATGCAGTAGTATTTATATGTCTCTATTCTTGAAATGAAATTTTGTTGTACAAAATGTCTGATTACATTTAAAAAGAAAAGAAAAAAAAGCAAACGTGATTTTGATCCTAAAATAATTCTAAAATGAAAGTAACAGTGATGTTTGCTTTTTAATCTAACAGAAACCATAACTGCAGATTGTAAAGGCGTTTGTTTTGTCAGCTTCCTCATGTTTCACATAATCCATCTTTCATTATAAAAATAAAGTAATTTTAAAAAAGCAACCTTAGCAGATTGCCAGAAGGTAACATTTACTTTTCCTTTTTAGAACTAAGGGGAGTTTAACATCATTCTGCTCTTTGTTTCACGACTGCATCTACTGCAGTGAATTTATCTGCCTGTACTGATGTTTGATTAGTTAAGTCCACTTATTCAGTACTGGATGGGAGGCAGTTTAAAGGGCAAACATCCATCTGCATTCAATTTAATTAAAATTATAGTGAATGTATTAGTCAAACTATAAGTTATATGGCTTACACCTGAGAAGTCATCACTTTCTTGATGTCATTACAGTATTGTAAACTTCATATTTCTGATGCCAACTATAGCAAGCTGAAGTTCTTAACTGGTATTAAACCAATTTGAATAGTATTAATATTGTGAGAAAGATAGTAATTACAAAGCCTTACGTCATCATGACATTCTGTTTGTGTATATGGCTACTGATGCTGCTGCCTTCACTCTGGACATCAACTTCCACATATTCCTTACACACAATCAGAGATCTGTAACACTCTTCTGACCAGTCTTTTTCTCTAAGCTTCCATGTTCACATTGTTTGCCCAGGTTTTCCTTCTCATGCAATAAAATTATGCTAGCATGGTTAGAGAGAAGGGAGGTCAACTTTTTTTTGTGGCACTCTGTCTCTCCCTTCATCTTCTGAATTTTCTATATAGACAATGATTGTAATTGCACTCCAGAACTCCTGTCTTCTTTTCTCATAAAGGCAGCCTGCATTAACCGAGTATATGTCTATAAATTCCTGAAGGCAGAGTGCAAAGAGGATGGAGCCAGGCTCTGCTGAGTCGTAACCAGTGCCAAGACAGGAGGCAGTGGGCACAAACTGGTACACCAGAGGTTCCCTCTGAATACCAGAAGCACTTTTGTGATGTGCAGGTGATGGAGCACTGGCACAGCTGCCCAGAGGCTGTGCAGTCTCCTCCGTGGGGATCTCCAAAAGCTGCCTGAACGTGGCCTTGGGCACCCTGCTCTGGGGGTAACTTCTGGAGCCAATGGACCCAGAGGTCCCTGTCAGCCTCAGCCATCCTGTGGTTCTGTAGGGAGCAATAGCATGTGAGCAGTTTAACTCTCCTTTAGCTCTAGCTCAGATCTTGATACTAATCCCAGAGTGGTTAGGATGTTTTTAACAAGTGCTGACATCTTCATACAGAGACAGGACTTCAAAAGTATTTCAAAAGGTTTTTAAAAAATAGTAGGAGTTGATAGAGCTGATGTATTTCATCCTGTAAGGTTTGCTTATGCCAGTTATGCTAGTATTTGAAGATGACTTTAATAGGAAATAGCCCTTGTTCCCAAGGCTGGCTTGCAGGTCAGGGATGCTAATTTCTTGAATGGAGCTTGGTGAATTTGCGTTACCATTCTGATGCAATAGATATTTTTCTGGATACAAAGCACTGCTCGTTTGTTAATATGTAAGCTTGTACCAACCTATTTTGGATAAAATTTTCAGTTGCTGAAATTCAGTGCTTTGACATCAATTATGAAGTTCAGCTTTAGACAGGATTCAGACAAATATTGCAAGACTTCAGGTACTTAAGAGTCCAGATGGTTTGAAGGTATTGTAGGGTTTGCCATTTACATCATCTAAATTTTTTCATTTTGTGTTTGTGCAGAAAAATTGTTCCTCATTCTGTCGTTTCAGGTAAAGGACAGCTGTTAAGCAATTTTCCATTTTTAAATTTCCCGCAGGGCAAAAATTGCTGATTTTATTTTGAAAAGATGATGATTTTTGTAAGAATGCTGCATATTACTAGCCTACAACTATTAATTTGATAAACTATTAATTTGATATCTGCAGCATGTGTTGGATCTTGTTAACAAAGTGATTATGGAATCATTTGTCTCCCAAAGTTTTAAAAAGAAGAAAGCAAAAGTAGTCAGTACATTAGATACACTTTTTAAACATTTTTCCTGGATGTGCAGATCTGAATCACAGAGTAGCAACAATGCAACATGTGTTGTAGAGCATCACGAGGTAACACGTAAAGCAGTGATATCAATACAAAATATTCATATTGAAAGCAAACAAAACTTTGGCTTAAGATAGGTAGAAGTGTTCCTCATTCACTTTGCATATCAGATTTTGACTGGATATTGTGAACTTTTGTTTTGTTTTGTTTTACTTTTTTTTTTTCTAATTGTTCCCTCCCCACATCTTTGTGAAAAGTCTGGGCTGTCGGAGAGCTACCACACTAAAACTGACTGCAAGAGGTGATTGTGTTGTTCTGTGAAGCATTAGAACGATGTGCTTGATGCTAATGCGAAGGTGAAAGGGGTAGGGTTGAATGGCAGGTTGCAGCATTATGTTTAGAACTGTAACTAAGTATGAATGTGATAATAATTGCATCTAGGGTCTGGCTGTAGTTTTACCACTAGCACCCATTGCCTTGAGATCCCCAGATCACATGGTGCAGTTGGGGAGCACAGTGGGTAAAGGAAAAGGAAGCCTGATGATGCAGAGTTGAAATGCCCCATTCTCTTCTCTGGAGGCTCATTGTCCACAGAACCATTTCTTCACACATCCTCCAGTGGAATGGGCACTGGCCACAGCTTGAGGTCCACACTTATGCTCTAGGATTGCTTCACATCTAAGGGTTCAGTTGTTTCTCCCATACCATCCTGAATCTTGTTATTTGCAGTCCTAACATATAGATGTCTCTGTTTCACTATGTCTCCATCCTCTCTTTCTGCCCATGAGTGCTATTACTACTCTTCAGAAGTATTGCCAGCTTGTATGATTTCCATTGTGAGTTTCTCAATAGTTTGTTGCTGTTTTTTGGGGGTTTTTTTTGAGGAGGAGTTGAAAGTTTTTTTCTTTGCTTTGCTAATTGAATCTTTGGGTTTGGTGACACCATCTCCGACTTTATGGTTAATGCTTTCATTGCTTTTCCCTTTCTTCTAATTTCTCAACAAGATATGCCCATTCTGCATATGCACATGCATATTCCATTCTCATGCACCATAACGCCTTCGTTCCCCCATCTTAGGAGCTGTTCCACAGCTTAATACTCAACTTCAGGACTGAATCCTGAACTGAGTCCTGAGTACCTGATGTGGTACACATTTAAACCTTTGGTAAGCTGGTCATTAACCTGGCAAAATACCATTCACAGGCTGGTTGGTTTAGTTTTTTGCTGAGTTAGTGAGCTGAATTTGGCCCCAGCAAGTAGCAGGGCTGGCCAACATGGAGGTGCAGGACCATATGGCTGGGAGAAGGGGAGTGGGAAGCAAGGGCAGCCTTTGGTGACAGCAAGCCATTAATTTGGCTCAGCTGTGTTGTTAAAGCATGCTCTCAGCAAGGCTATGTTCTCAGCAAGGCCAGAAATACTGTGAATGTCATATAAGAATGTCGTACATTAGAACTGTGCTGTAAAAGCTTTAACCTCTTCTTGTGGATACCCACACAATACTGAGGTTAATCAAGATGAGGTATAGGATTCTTTCTAATTACAGAGTTGATCTACAAATGCAGCTGTCTTTCTGCATGGATTTTTTTCTGTTTCAGAAGGAAGATGTTGCAAATGCAGAAATGGCTGAAAGGCTGTCACTTCGGAAGAATCGCTTTATGCATTTTGCATCACTGGAGTATGAAGGAGAATATTACATGACACCACGAGATTTCTTGTTTTCAGTAATGTTTGATCAAGTGGAACGTAAGTTGTTTTCTCATCACTGTATTTGTGAGGGAAAAGGAACTTGGAAGTCCCCTTAAAAATGTAATGTACAAATCACTGGGACAGGATCCCTTATCTGACATCAGTCATCAGAAGCTCAGAAGCCAGTTTATAAACCTTGGGCATGTGGATTCTCATAGGCACCACCCTGTATGCTAGTCACATGCTGATCATTTCAAAATCTGGTGACTGAAGGATGGCATTACGTCTCTGCATAATTTGCATGTCTGATAACTATGCAGTTCCTCAATGACTTACTTAGTAAGACTGTAATGTGACTGTGCTCATTCTATTCTTGTCCCTGTTATCTGTCTGCCTGCTTTACCAGAAAGTACTCTGTGACCTTTTTTCTTCCAGTGATGGGAGTGATGTGAATATGTGTAATGAAGCATGGAGCTCAGCTCTAGATTTCTGATTTCAAATCTCTTCTGGTTTATAGAAGATTTGGATAAGAACAAATCAAAATTGTTTGCAAATTAAAAAAAAAAAAAAACCTTTTAAAAGTGTGTTTTCTGAGGAGGAGCTTGGAGCAGCACACAAATTTAAAGTGCATATGTTATTGTCCTCGTGGTTTTCTGATCTCATTAATCTGCCCTGTTCCTTAAGCTTCTTTCCATGTTAGCATGTATTTTTAAACAACATATGTTTTCACAAAAAAATTGGCTTTTATTACTTCCCCAAGAATATTTTACTTAAGAGAGGTTCAGAAATGTTAAGTTCCCTAAGTATCGGGGTCACTCAGAAGACCAGTGCCCATTAGTACACCAGAGGGAAAGAGGGGAAAAACCAAGCTCTAATTGTTGTTTGCTAGCTGGTCTGCACATTCTAACTGACCTGTGGAGCATATTGTATTGCAAAAGCTATTCAAAGCTTGCAGTGCTCTCTGCCCATCTAGCAGGGAGATCAGCATCACTTGAGGATACCGAGAAGGAAATACAGAAGAGAATTCAGAGCTCTGTGGAAGAGAAAGAAGGAGGTTGGAGAGGCTGTTATTCGAGCCCACGGGAAACCTGGAGCAGAACAGAGTTTACAGAGCTGCAAGTGGTCCAAGAATAGGACACAAGAACCTGTAATAAAAAAGAGTTATCTTGTGTCTGCAAAAATCTATAGTTGATAGGGGTACCTGGCTTCCCTGCTGACATACAATTTCTAATATTATACAAGGCTGAATATAAATCCTTAGAAGGACTATATGACCTTGAGAGACATGAAGATTCTCAAATTAGCGTATTTTTATAATAAGTGGCAAATGGAAAGAGTGTTTTTCCCTCCAAATTTTGTCAGTAAGTTAAAAACCAAGAAGGGATTTTCTTTGGAGTTTCCCAGCCTGAAATAGTGAAAGACTATACAGTGGGTACTGAATTTTTCAGCGTTGAAGATGTGGCTTTCAAACAGTAGTCTGTGAAAGCAAGGTTAAAGAAAGAAGTGTTTTTCAGTCTTAGCACTTCATACATATTAATTGGTTATTCCAGCTAAAGTGATATACGTGTAGATTTTTAATGAAATGCTATGTGGATAAGATTGATTTGCAAGGCAGCCAAGTTAATTTCTGTTACTTTGCTAATGTGAGTGGGAAACAGCTTGAAATAGAACAGAAAAATGACAAGAAGAATACGTGAACAAAAAAATCTTTGCACCAGCACATACAGCATTTCAGTTAATGCTAAGGTTTACAACAATGGCATTGTAGATTATTGATAGAAAAATGTTAATATGTGAATCTAATGCTCCATACAGTATTTTGAATATTTTAAAGTCACTGGCTTATTCATTTTCTTGCAGAGAATTCCCTGGGAAAAAATAAACAGACATAGCTCAAGCCTCTCTCCAAGTATATTTAAGGTAGATCAGGTTCATAGAGTCATGGAATCATTAAAGTTGGAAAATACCTCTAAATCCATCTAATTCCACAATCAACCCATCACCACCATGCCTACTAAATGGTGAACTTCGTACCAAAGCAGCAATTACTTCTGGAAACTTTTGGCTTATATTATAAAATTAATTCCTTTTTTAATTTTGAACAATGGTTTTAGTAAGGAAAATGGGCATGCCAACACTAATTCTAAAAATTTCTTCACTTACTGGCAGTGAAATGCAAATTGAAAATGTGACCCTGCACACAAATGCACTTTGAACTTAAAGCTGAACTTAAAGCTCTAATGATTTTACTGTTTTCCACTTGCTTTCTATTAATCACTAATAAAAAAAAAAAGTCTTATAAATTTTGATGCCCTAAAGCATTCACCCTCATAAATATTTGCTTACAAATTACTTGAGTTTGCCAATCAGTTGTGATATGTAATACGGAAGGCTTAGCTCCATCCAAGATCTGTTCTCAAGTTTTGTTTCTGCTGTCTTTCTTGCAGACTGTAGCCCAGAACATATGATCAGTCCTATAAAAAAAAAACGTGTTATCTCAAATACAGTCTTCACAACAGATTTGGAAAGTTGTTTAATTCTAGCTATGTTGGACTGCTGCAGCAAGCAGCTTCCAAGATGGTGGGTTCCTTACTCAAAGCAGTCTGCTGGCTGTTCTGTCACTTCCCAAGGTCCAACCGAGACTGCTGGCTGCAGGAGGGAAGGATAGCATCTCAGCAGGACTTCTGTACATCACGAACAGTATCTTACACGTGATCCAGAAGCACCCAGTGCTGATTCTGAAACACTGATTTCAATGCTCTTGCTGAAATGTAGTAAACAATGAGCATCGATTTATTTGGGTAATGTAAGAATAACTGCACATTAAATCCTGGGTTAGAGGTCAGCATCGATAAAGTATCCGCTAAAGGTTGCAGGCTAAAAATAAATTGCTGAGATGCTTGAGAGCTATTTTTACTTTTTTCTGTGATGCTTATGAAGATGGTATCAAAGGTGCTGCGATGCCGCATAGGAAAGAAACAGCTGTGTTCTCTGAAGTCTATTATGTGCTTACTGTCTTCTCCTCCTGCATTTTATGGAAAAACGAGCTTCTGACTTCTATTACACTTCTCTTTGCATACTCTGGCTGGTTTTCCCTCTTCACAGAGCACTCTCTCATTTTCTTACAGAACTGTGGTCTTTTTTCTTTATTTTTCTTGCTTTTTCCCCCCCAACATTTTTATTCTTTGTTTTCTTTTGTCTGTCCTTTTGCAAACTAATGGAGTCCGTTCTCACTTTTATTTCTCCCTTGTTTCTTTTGTTGCTGTTGTTTTTTAACTAAGCCCCTAAAGAAGTGGATGGGGAATGTATGTATGTGTCTGTCTCCTGTAAGTGTACACAACATTGACCTGTGGGCAGTGCTGGAAGGGTGGTGGTTGCAGCCTTCTGCTGTATTTTCAGACAGGATAATGGGGAGGAACATGAGGCTGTGGGGTTGTTCTGTGAATCAACCATAACACAAGGCTGGACAGCTGCTTCCAGCCTTAGAAAAGCTGGGGATCTTGGAGCATGGGGAGATACTTGTCCCCCACATGCCTACAAGGGAAGCCATTTTCTTCTCATCAGAGATTATTCAAAACTCATGTAGTAACTTTAACATTATGCAAATATGCCAGTTTTTCTTTGATATTGAAGGAGAGATGTCTGCTCTGTGCTCAAAAGCAATTTCTAACCACTGGTGTAAATGTTCTTTTGGTACGATTTCTCATATATTTGCATCTAAGCTGTAATTGCATTTTGTCCTCTCAGCTGTGATGAAGTGTCCTAAATCTAGAAATTAAGTTCACTGGTACAGACTGCCCAGAGAGCTGTGGGTGCCCCATCCCTGGAGATGTTCAAGATGGAGTTGGTTGGGGCTCTGGGCAGCCTGACCTGGTGGGTGGCAGCCCTGCCCAAGGCAGGAGGTTAAATCTGTGTCGACATTAAAGTCCCTTCAACTCAAACCATTCTGTGATTCTAAAATGTAAGAGTTTGGAAGAACCATAATCCTGTTTTTATTTGCTTTGTGTAAGTTACACTGGATGCTGGAGGATTCCAGGCTGAAACTGCTTGCAGTTACAATTAATCCTATGAATTTTCATTTAATTTACTGAAGATAGAAAACCCAATTTCAACTCAGGTTCTGCCATCGTTTCCAAATGGGAAGAACTGAGAAATGAAAGGAAGACTTTCAGCACGGTGATAAGCTTCTCTTCTTATCTCAGTTGCCAGTCCTTTATTTTGCCAGCAATTGCATCTACTCTATAACATTTAGTCTGCTGCTTTTGTTGGTTCCTAAAGAGAACATCAGCTTTAGGCCAAGGTTTTGGAAATAGAACTCGAGTTTGGATATAGACAGAAATGGAACAGTGATGTTTTTCATAAGGGCTTTTTTTTTTTTGATTTACAATATTAATAGTCAAATTTTAGTTCATTCCCTGCTTTTCTGAACAGAATTGAGTTCTAGCAGTGTCTAGCCAAAGATATGACAGTAGGAAACAGATGGGCAGAACCTGAGTGGTCTGAGAATGGACCAGTCCGGAAGCTCAGTTCCATACACAATGACTCTGATTTCACCAATAAATTTATTTTATTACCAGACTTTCTTCTTACTTCCCACAGGTAAGGCAGAAGCGGGGCGGATCATACTGAAGAAAGTATGAAAGTATAAAGTATTTAATTTACTGAAGTCCTCCAAAATCTATGTGATGCAGTGCTGTCTAGGTGAAACAGAACCATTTAGCCTTATTTTGTATGACCTGTGCTTAAAATGATTTTATATGTCTGGTAATGTGTGCAGGAGTGGAAGATGTGGCCAATGAACTCCACTCTTTCTCTGATTACTGTTTAGCTTAATTATCATTTCCAGAGGGAATGTGAGCTGTCAACCGTCCATCTCAGCTAGCTGGCATTGCAGCCTCCCATAGATGGCAAGCAGACAGAGGTCAGCAGTGTTGCCTGAGAAGCGTGGAAGGAGCCCCTCCAGCTCTGCCTGGCTGCTTTGCTTTCACTTCGTGCTGCTTCCCTCCCCACTGCCAAAGCACAAAGCATTGCACAGCCACGTGCTGAACCCAGCTAAG